AGAGGGAGGAGGGTCAGAGGGAGAAGCAGACTCCCCGCTGAGCAGGGAGCCCGATGTGGGACTCGATCCCGGGACTCCAGGATCATGACCTGAGCGAAGGCAGTCGCTTAACCAACTGAGCCACCCAGGCGCCCACCCAAAGAATCTTTATTATTATGTTTCTATGTGGTTTTTTTAGATCTAAATGAAAATATATCTGAGAGATAAATATTCTTTTCCTGTTTTCTTATCCCATTTCCCTGGGTTTGCTAGCACTCAAAATATTTTTTAAACCTCACAAGACCTGTGTGCTTCCTTTGTGAATGGAAGGGTAGGAGAAAATCTGTTCATATCGGGCTGGAAGGAGAAAAAATCTGATTAGCACCAACATAGGCAGGGGACACGGTAGCAGATGGACAGTAGTAATTGACCTTGGTGAAAAGGAAAGGTGAAATTGGCTTGGAAGTGAGAAATACCTTTTGATATGTGTATTGGCCAGAGAGCAGCTCTCCTCATTTTTCAATTCCTAGTTCCTTGGAGTCCTTAGCTTTTGTCTGCAGCAGATAGGAGTCTTTTATACTCTTGTCTGGCAGGTAAGATAGGATGAATAGATATCTTCCTGACATTCAGATCATTTCTCTGAAGGGTTTGTTTGTTTGTTTGTTTGTTTTTAATGGGAAGATTCTTTAACTGATTATATAGCATAATTTCAACAGTACTAAATTTATGGTATGTAATGGGTTAAATACACTTTTAAGGGTTGCATTGAAACTTCACCATCATGTGTATATTGTATGAGGAAAAGTATTTAAAAATCTTAAGAGCAGACTTTAAAATGAATTTTACAAACAATAGTTATTGGCAAGTTGAGGAATAATTACTGTTACATAGAGAATGAAATGTTGAAGAAATGAAACTTTTTCTTGTGATTATAATCAGTGTGTTATTTTTTTATAGGGCTTCTTATATGCATACAGTATTAGTACCATTATTAAAACCACAATGAATCTCTACATGTCGATGCAAAAGCCAATGACCAAAACCTCAGTTAAGGCATTATGCAGGCTTGTTGAACTTCTCAAGGTAGGTTTAAAATTATTTTACTTGCCATTATAATTGAGAATTGACCTGTGCTTAAATTAAGGTGGTCTTGTAATATTTGACTTCTTGATTATGAGAATAAAAAATTGTGGGAAAGTGTACTTTTCTCTCAGTTGGCTAAAGAAACTAGCCATCGAAAGAAATTTTTGAGTAACTTTTTATGAATGGCCAATATATTTAAACTTTGTTAAAAATTAGCATATAGGGGCGCCTGGGTGGCTCAGTTGGTTAAGCGACTGCCTTCGGCTCAGGTCATGATCCTGGAGTCCCAGGATCGAGTCCCACATCGGGCTC